TTATCTAATGAACAGTAGAGTGAGCTGATTGTTGTCAGTATTCAGATTAAAAGTAGAACAAAGAATACAGTGGAAAACCTATGCTGATTCTCTATCCCAGAGTCCCATCGATCCATTCAGCTGGATTTTTTATGCTCTGTCAGACTTTGCTAAACCACTTCATTGATTCAGCATACTTGCTGCATCTGCACAAGTACAGTGAATCCTCAGTTTTCCAATGGACTTCACGTATAATGGAGCAAATTCTATTCTGTTGACATCATTATGGGTAACTGACACCCCATCCTTCCAATTAGTTTATTAAAAAGAGATTTCACTGTACTGTTAAATATAGAGTAAGGGAATCAAAAGATGGATATTTGAGAGGAAAGGGGTGCTCCTTATAGTAATCTCCTTAGCGATGCTCTTCCTTTTCTTGAAGTCAATACCTAATAACAAAAATAGCAAATAAGTAGAAAAATAAATGTACTCTAATGCCAATGATGTTTAATGGTTTTTTTTTATCTTTATTGCATTTGGAGTTGTTTTTATTCTTACCGTGAATGTTCTAGTTTGTATTTCTTCTATGTAAGCCATTGAAAGTCTCTTTGGATTGCAGCAGCATAGAAATAACTTTAATAAATAAATAAATGTACCAAACGATTACAAATATCTTTATTGCTAATAGTTTTTCTTTTTCTTGAGACTGACTGATATCGTGTAACATGTCAGGTTTTGCTCATTTTGTTGGTTTTGGCTTTCGTTATCTATATACTACTAAAATTCTCATTGTGCTTATCTGTTTGTACCCTCAAGGTAGCCCAAATGGTGCATTATACTACAGCAATTTTGGAATCAAGGTACCTAAAATCCGCTAACTGAAAGAATGTGTTAAAAATCCAGGACCCATTACTCCTGTGGAATTTTGAAATTTTCACAATGTTCAGACCAGTTATATTTGCAAAGTTGTGGCCATTGCAGCATTTCTGCAGTCACATGATCATGATTTCTGATGCTCCCTCCCAGCTTCCCACAAGCAAAAGCAATGGGGAGGCCGGCAGGAAGTTGGAGGTTGCTCCCACTCCCACTGGTTTTTTGCCCGCCCCTGGTCATTCTGTTTATCTGTTTAGGTAAGTAACTATTGACTTATTATTGAAGTTCATTTGCCGCTACGATTATTTTTCTATTTATGATATATGCTCTGCTTAGATGATCATGGGACTGTCCATCATTAGGGTAAAAAAACCATGGTCAGCCTAAAATTTAATGTTCATTCTGGTCACACCAGAGGGCACTACCTTTCTCTCAAAGGATGATCTAACGAGTCACAGGGCTGTCTAGTATGTTACCAAAAGCAACGTGGGAACAGCAAGAGCTAATAGGTATCCATGTTCTTGGTGCACTCACATATATAGAACTATACCAGTGCAAAGCACTATTCTGAAAAGTCTTATCACTAAGATTTTTGGTAGAAACCTGTCCCTTCCTGCTGTCTCCCCCC